AGTCCCTCTCTGGAGGAAGGAGGGCTTAGAGCCCCCGGGAGGGGACTGTCCTGAGTTCAGGGCTCCAGGCAGGGCCACCCACCGTCAGCCCAGGGGGTGAGGGCCTGCGGACATGCTCACCCACACTGTATCTGCTGGGCTGGAGTGGCTTGTGCCCGGTGAGGCCTATGGGGTGCCCTTCCTCAAGTTTTGGGGGCCAGAAGCAGCAGAGAAGCTCAGAGCTTACTCCCATCTGTAAGACCTTAGGCTGTGTGTCCTGACTGATCTGTACTCCCCTGCCATCTGTCACACGGAGGTGAAGACACTCAACTATAGGAGGGGGCGCTTGGTGACTAATGTGCTTTGCTCGGGGCTCGGTGAGAAGTAAGTCATCAACTGCTCCTAGTTCAAACCAGCCTGGCCCCCAGGGGCTTTCTTGTTCTTCTGGGGTTGGTGGTCATGTAAGCATGGCTGTGCAGAGACACAGGTGTCTTGTCCCAGGGGCCATTTGCTGGCTGGGAGGAGGAGAGGTGAGGGTTTGGCAGGACGCCCCATGCTGGCTGTGGGAGTGGGATGCTCTGGGCTGTGAGAAAGGTCAAAGCACAGAGGCTGGGAGAGGGGCACCTCCTTCCTCCGAAGCTCCCCCTGGGCCCTGGTGGGCCTCCTCCGCTGCTCAGAGAGGGGCTGCTGGCGCTGGGTCATGGCCCAGGCTCAGTGAGGTGGGAGTGTGGATGCTCTCAGAAGGAGGTTTGTTTCTGCCACCAGCTGCTCGTCTCTGCCCTGCCCTGCACGGTCCCTTTGGGGGCACATGGGCTCCACTGCCCTCTGGCTGGGGTGAGGATGTGCTGAGAAGAGGTGGCCCTGATGAGGCCTTCTGGACTGCTGGCCGTTGGGCTACTGAACCGTCTCTACGCCCCCACCCTGGGCTAACACCGAGGTGTGGCAGGGCCTGTGCACCTGTCCTCTGTCCCATAATCAGAAAGGCTCCCCTTTTATTTTATTGCAAAGGCAGACATAGTGTGAAAGCGTGTGACATAGTGTGTGACAAGTGTGAAAGTGTGACGCCAGAGTGTCTGGGGCTCTCCCCCTACAAAACCCTTGGCAGGCAGTGGAAATCCTGCCTCTCTGCCTCCAGGCCTTCCTGCCCCCCGACTCCTGCTCATCCCTTGTAATCACCTTGGTTGTCCCACATTCCCTGAGCCCCTGGGAGCAGGCCCCTCTGGACACCCAGAGTCCCCCTGCTGCTCTCAGTGGTCTGCGTGTGAGCTTGGCACAAGAGCCAAGAGGCCCCACTAACCACGTGCTAAATGGATAAAGCTCTGGTGCCGCTGAGGCCCACGGCCACTGTTGGGAGGGGACTGGTCGTGGTCATGGTCTGGGGCTTGCCAGCAGCTGATCAGAAAGGCCTCTTACCGAGTGGCTGGGCCGTGGTAGGAGTTCCAGTTACAGCGATTGGGAAAAATGGAAGCTGGTAGTGGGAGTTTGTGGGATTTTACTGGACCGAGTTTCGTCCTGGTCTCTCTTCTGAGGCAGGCATGTCCAGCTTGTTTTTAGCCAGTCCAGCAGCGCCTTGAGGTCGGGGACCCAGGCTCCATGTCCTTCCTTCTGTCATCTGTTAAATGGGTGTGGGTGCAGTGAGGATTAATGAGGCCAAGGCCAGCACGCACTCACTGGGCGTTTTCTCAAGCCTTGGCCACAGAGGTTAAGCTGTTAGCCTGAGGTTGTGCAGAGTGGGGAGCTGGGCCACCTTCCTGTGCCGATCACTCCCCTGCACCCTGGCTCTTCAGGCCTGGGACCCCCTGGCACTGGCCCATGTCACCCTAGACCAGACCTCAGACTGATGGAAGTGCCCCCTCTAACTCTAGTTCTAAGGGTGACCTTCAGCTTTCTGTCCGTGTGTCAGGCTGAGTACTTTACACAGCCTTCCCTTTTGCATAAGAGGATACTTCGCCTGAGAGATGGGATGTTTTGTTCAAGGTCTTGACTCTGTCCTCAAAGCTCACGGCTTAGATTAGCCAGCAGCCACCAAGAGCAAATTCTGTGTCTGCCCTGTCCCCAGCCTTCTGCAGGAGCTGGGGACATGGAAAGGACTGGACACTGTCTCTGACCTCAGACTCTTCATGGGCCGGGACACAGCCAGAGGCAGACACTTGGGCACATGGCGCAGCAGTGAGGGGAGTAGGTCCCTGGCCCTAAGTGGTACAGGAAGTGTTGGGGAGAGAGGGGGCGGGGGTAGCTTCACGGAGGTGTCATCTGAGCCAAGTTTTGAAGGATGATAGGAGTTTGCTATCCATCTTGGAGGAAGGTTGGTGTCAGGCCTGGCCCCCCGTTGTGTGAAAGCAGCTCTGAAGGCCCAGTAAGAGACTGTTACTCGAGTGTGCCACACACAGAGATATACTTTACAGACACAAGCCTTAAGGTGGGTGCTAATGTTCTCTTTATTTCCCAGACAATGCCCTTGAGGCTCAGAGACAGTCCCTTTTCTTAGTGGTCTTCTCACCGCCTGGCCTGCTTGCTGTGGCTGGTGTGAAGACCTGTCTGGTGTAAGACCTACATCCCGGCTGGGGAACTGGGGCCAGGTGTGCATGTGTGTGTGAGGTTCTGGGGGCTTGGGGCCCTCAGGCGCTCTGGTGGCAGGACTAGGACTAGGGACCTTTGGCCGACTGAGTACATCTCCTTAGGGAGAAGAGAGATAGGGAGTGGACAGGGCCACCTTCCCAGTCCTCCTGTCTTGAGGGCCCATCTGGCCTTGACCCTGCTTCCTGGGAGCTTCATGCTCACTTCAGTGACCTCTTTTGACTTCTGGAAGTTCTTTCCCACCTGGTGTTCCATTTCTGTCTTTGGAGGTGGTGGGGCCAAGGGGCTGGTGTCTGATGGGGGTGAGTCACCCACTGAAGCTCCGTGCAGAGAGGTCCAGGCGCTTCCACAGCTCCACCCCATTTCCATGGGACCATCTGTGTATGGTTGCCAAGGGGGAGGTGGTGGGAGCCCGTGGCTGGCGGGAAGTGCTGATTTTCTTGCTCATGGTTGTTTTGTTTTGCTTTTTGCCTCTCACCTCAGTGTCAGCCTGTGGCCTACAGCTGCACTTGCCCAATAAACTGTGTTGTGACCATTACAGCACAAAGTTGTTGGCGGACTGCTCTCCCATGCCTATTCCTACTCCTCCTGCCGCCCATATCCTCCTTCACCATCCTCTGTGGCTTCTGGTCACCTCAAGTTATTTGAAATTCCCTGGTAACATACCTTACATCTTTCTGGTCTCCCCGCCTTTGCTGCATGCTCTCTCCCTGCCATCTGAGCAGCTGCCACTTCCCTCAGGAAGCCTTCTCTGATTGTCCAGGCTATATGGCTATCCACCCAGGCTCCTGCAGTGCCACATGCTGCCCTCTCTCTGGCTGGATCCATGTCTGATTAGCATCTGCTCCCACAGCAGAGGTGCCCATGGCTGTGCACAGAGCAGGCGCTTGGTGATGTGCTAAATGTACACGCCGAGAGAAGGTCATGGCAGCCTGGGCCCTCCTACAGCCAGTCAGGGCTGGGAAGGGTCCAGGCTCTGTTCTGGGACAGGGTATCCCTTGGTCCAGGCCGCCGTTTTCCCCTCCTCCTGCCACCCCCACCCACTGCCACCTTTCCTTCTCTCCCTTTCTTTCTTCTTTCTTTTTAAAAAATATTTTATTTATTTATTTGAGAAAGAGAGAGAGTGAACAGCGGGGAGGGGTGTAGGGAGAGGGAGAAACAGACTTCCTACTGAGCAGGGAGCTGGGTGCCAGGCTGGATCCCAGGACCCTGGGATCAAGACCTGAGCTGAAGGCGGACACTTAACTGACTGAGCCGCCCAGGCTCTCTTCTCCTTCTTTTTGGGCTTTGGCCACTGCCTTTGCTGAGCATCTCAGTGTTGTCCTTCTTCTTCCTGTGGAGGTGCTGTGAGTGGGGGTCTCTGTCTCCATTTTGGTCCCTGCTGCCCTCTCTTCCTGCAAACCCGCCCCATCTCTGCCTCAGCTTCCCCTTTCTGCAGCCTTTCTGTCCTCTTTCTCTTTCCCTGCCCTCTCCTCCCCATTGCCCTTACCCTTTCTTCCCTCCACCCCTCTATCTCTCTCATGATACTTCCTCTCAGGCTCCCGATCCAGCTCCTTCTTTTTCTAGGTCTTCCCCCCTTTTCTGGTCTTGGGTCTCTCTGCCTCTACCCAGCTCTCTCCCCACATCTGCCCTCCCCTCCTGCTCTCCCCACACAGCTGAGAAAGCACAGTTGTGACTCATCAGAAGAGTCTGCCTCTGAGATGTCTAGTTGGGAGTAGAGCGGGTGGCTGTGAGCTGTATGTGTGTGTGCATGTGTGTGTGAATGTAGGTGTGTTAGTGTGAGTGTGAGTACCACGAGTGGGCCCAGGATGGCCTGCTGGGTTGTGGAGAAGGGAGCAGGGTGGCTAGAGCAGGTCACATCTGAAAATCTAGTCAGATTGCGAGCTGGCTCCTAGCGATACAAACAGCCTGACCCCTGGCCACCCCTCGCTGCCCTCCGTGTCCTGGGGTGGCTACCTCCCAGCTCAGGGCTGCTCTGCTCCTTCCTCTGGTATTCAAGAGTCTTGGGACCAGGAAATGGAGTCATGTGGGGAGGTGTGGCTGCCCTTACCTGGCCCTTCTTTTGCTCAGATCACTTTTTAGCCACCAGGATTGGGTGGAACCCCCAGGGGTGCAGTGTGAGATAGCAAGGAGGGGTACCTGACCCCTCAAGCTGTCTTTAAGGGTGTTCCCCTCCTCCTAGTTTCAGTCATTCCAGCAAGCCTGACCTAAGCTCCTCCTCTTGGCTGATAGAGGATGAGGAGGTCTCAAGACTTGATGGACTGAGTGGCTTTTGGGGATCACAGCAGCCACGAGACTTTCTGATGGTCTGAGTGCCCTGGGCTGTGTGATGCTGGCTGTGGGCCTCCAGGACGTTGGCTGGGGTGGGAAGCCATCTGTGGTGTTGGTGATTGGGCGCTTTTGGTTTGGCCACCCTCTTACTCTTTCTCCTGCTGCCTTGGCAGGTCCTCCAGAAACTGGGAAAGGCGGATGAGACAAAGGATGAGCAGTTTGAACAGTGTGTTCAGAATTTCAACAAGCAGCTGGTGAGTGTGGGTGACCTTTTGCCTTAGGGACAAGGTCTTTTGCCTTTGGGACCTTTTGCCTTAGCTTGTGCAAAGTAGAAGTGAGGCTGCCAGGTAAAAAATGTCAAGAGCTGAGTTTGTGGAGTGAGACAGCTGGGAGAAGGGGCCAGTGTGGGCTGGCAAGGTCATGGAAGACTTCCTGGAAGAGGGAATACTGGCTTAGGGTGTGGACCAAGGGAAATAGGAGGGAGGGTTGGTGGGTATGCTGTAGGTCTTTGATAAGGGATATGGGGTGGATTGGCGGGAGGGTGGGAGGGTTTGGGTTGGAGTAGACAGTAGATTTTGGCCAAACTCTGGAAAACCTCGAATGTCAAGGCAAGTGGGAGCTAAAGAAGCTTCTTGTGAGGAGAGTGGCATTTACAGAATTTACTGTGGGAGCAGAGCAGACAGGATCTGATTGGAGCACTTGCTGAGCATGGCCTCTGGATGCCTCCCAGCAGCCCTGTAAGGTATCTAGTATCATCATTCCCCTTTTATAGATGAAGCAGTTGAGGCTCAGAGAAGTTGGGTAATTTGCCCAGGGCCATCCTGCTTTGGGGGTGGATTTAGAGCCATATTTGTTTGGTTCCAAAGACTGCAATGGCCCCTTACCAGCTCCTTTAGATAGTTAAGAGACCAGTGACAGGAGGGGCTGAATCAGGTGGGCAGCCTGGGGGCGGTGGTTAGATACCAGGGAGGATTTCCTGACTGAAGGACCCTGAATACCTTAATGGGGATGCCCCTGAAAACTTTTCCCTCACATACATCTACTAAGTCTAAAATTAGCCACCGCCCCCCCATGACCCTGAGATCAAGACCTGAGCTGAGATCAAGAGTCAGATGCTTAACTAGCTGGGCCACTCAGGTGCACCTAGATTTAGCCACTTCTGTGGCTGTATCTGAAGATATAGAAGAGGGGAATGAGATGAGCCTGGTGATTCTGTCCTCTCTGGGAAGGGCCTGGTGGCAGGAAGTGAGGGAGAGCTGGGCCATGGCCCTGTGGCTTCTAGGCTAGCCCTCAGTGAGTAACAGATGGGGATGGAGGCAAGCAGGGGCCACAAGAAATGGGCATGGGGGGTGGGGTCATCGTCTAAGCTGTGCTAGGAAAGGGGCCAAATAGACCCAGGTTTGGGGCTGGGAAGGACCAGGTTCTCCCTGCTCCTTGTTCATGCCTGAGGCCTCTGAAAGCACTGGAATGGAATCTGGGAGAGGGGGCCTTCTTTGGAGAACTTTGACAGTCCACTCACTGGCCAGGAGGTGGGAGCTGAGAAGCATGCTGGGAGAGGGTGGGGGGCATGCTAGGAAAGGGCCAGAGGGCATGCTGGGAGAGGGCTGGGGAGTATACTGGGAGAGAGTGGGGGGCATGGTGGCAGGGGGCTAGGAGGGGTATGCTGGGAGACGGGGTGGGGGGGTATGCTAGGAGAGGCCCCAGGGGGTATGCTGGGAGAGAGTAGGGGGCAAGCTGGGTGAGAGTGATGGGCATGCTGGGAGACAGTAGGGGGCAAGCTGGGAGAGGCCCTTGGGGGTATGCTGGGAGAGAGTAGAGGGCAAGCTGGGTGAGAGTGAGGGGCATGCTAGGAGATAGTAACGGGTAAGCTGGTAGAGTGCCGGGTTTGGGTAGATACCTGATGGAAGAGAGGGGTTTGGAGAGCAGCTGGGACAGTCTCCAGGGCCAAGCCCACCCTTGCCTGACAGTGGAGCTCACTGAGAGTCTCTTTAGGGCAGGGATGGGAGCCCTCAAGGCTGCTTGTCCCCCAGGCCACAAATGGGAGGGGTTTCAAGGCCCAGGTATGTGCCATGTCAGAACCATCTATGGGCCCTGTGGCCTTGGGTGTCCTGCTCCTTGGGCTTTGGTTTTGTTACCTGCAAAATGGAGGCTTGGACAAGCAAAGCCTGATGTCTTTGCTTCTGGTTCTTTCTGCTGAAAGTGCCTGTGGTAGGTCCCTTGCTCAGCTGGCTTCCTCAGGCTGTGTGGGATGCTCTGAAAGTCCTTTAGGGAATCACTGTTTCTAGATCCCTATTGTGGACGAGGTACTGCTTGTGTGTCACAGACCCAAACCTTGTGTTCTTGAGGCGTGTGCTGATACTCTCTTCATAGAGTAGGCGCTTGAAGCTCAGCGGGGTTAAGCGACTCTTCCAAGGACCCACAACGCATGGTGTCCGGATCTGTCCACTCTCAGTTTCCCTCTCTGGAGCTGAGTCCTGGTACTGAGGATGACTGGCTAGGCTGGGGAGAGAGATTGGGGCAGCTCCTGATCTGGGTGGGGGGTGATGGGGCTGCCTCATCAGCCGGACTGTTTGGCGGAAGGTGAGCAACGTACGCATCTGGGAGCTGAGGTTCCACGCGGTCTGCCCCCAGTGCAGGAACTAGAACATTACTCCCTGCTTTCGTCCCTCAGAGTCACCCCCGCTGGGCCCCGGCTCTGGATGAGGAGTCACTCTGATTCTGGGCAGAGCCACCAGGGAGTGAGGCCAGCACTTAAGACAGTCAGTGCTGGTGGCCCCCTGGAGGTAGACACGTAGTGGTCTCTTGAGCTGGGGCTCTGTCTGCCTTCAGGTCGGGTGGGGTGGCTGGCTTTTCAGGGGCCAAGTAAGAGGGGGTAGATTTGAGATCTCATTTGAGACTTGGGGTAACATTCTCTTGGGGGGTTAAGGCAGCCACGTGATTCTGGATTTGATGGGTGTGTGGGCAAGGCTGGGCCCCCAGGCTTGGGAGACCCTGGGGAAGATGGGATGGATATTGAGCATGGGAAGTCTGCAAGCTGAGTGTTCTCCTGCTCTTTTATTTGTGAAGACCACATACAGTGTCCTAGCTGGGGACTGGGATGGCAGGGAATATGGCCTTTAAGGAAGCAAATCTGCTACCCCTTCCTATAGGTGCCCTAGGTGAGGCCGTAGGTCACTGGCTCTCACGAGAGGCAGGTTTCATAGCCCTTTCTGGGTGTACTCAGCACCAGTCCTGGCACTTCTGCCCTCTGTCCCTGCACAGAGAAACAGAGCTTGGCCCACTCAGAGGGATGGCTCCCGGGAAGGCCTGAGTAGTACCTGAGCTGGGGGGCTGTGGAGGGGAGGGGAGTGGACCAGGCTCTTCCTCCTGGGACCACCTGTAGCTTGCACGCAGGGGCTCATTATTGCTGTTGGCTTGTCTGTTGTCGAGGTGGGGCCAGGTGGGATTCCTTCTTGTTCTCAGGGCCCACTGTGGTTGAAGGGGGGATCCCGGGCTATTGTGTGAAGATCCTCTGGGACTGACTGCAAGGGCACAAGTCAGCTGGAGCCAGAGGGAGTCCTGCAGGAGGGATGTCCTTTCCCCCTAGACTCACTGGGAAGATGAGGGCTTGGGTCTTCAGACCACTGGTGGGGGCTGGTGTCAGGGGAGGCAGGGGAGCACCCTTTGAAGGGAGGTATAGCAGGGATGTGGGGTGTGGGCCAAGTCACCCCCGTGGAGCTACGCTAGGTGTTGGTACTGGGTTGTGGCGTCCTTCCAGACTCCGAGTCCAGAGGCAGGAGAGCAGGCTGAAGGGATCGTGCTCCAGAATTTTATTGCTCCCTCAGCTGCTCTGCAAGGAGTATGTTAAAGCCCCAGGGACCTCCAGAGAGCTGTTTCTCAGGTGCCCTATGTGGGGGGGCCAAGGGAGCCAGTTTGGGAGCAAACACACAGGTTCTGCATTGGCCTGCTGGGCGCTGCCCTGCGGGAGGCAGCTGCCTGGGGGAGGGCTGGGCCTCATCCTGGGCACTGACTGCGGAGTGCGGCTGAGGGGCCAAGCTGCAGCTGGCACATGCGAGGCAGAGCTCCGGGGGTGGCCCCTTGCACATCTGTGCCCAGTGTGCCTGATCACAGCATGGCCTTGTTTGGGAAGCACAAGGGGCCCTGGTACGGCCTGAGGCCCCGGGCAAGCACAGCAGCCCGCCCCTGGGGAGATCCCTTACTCGGGGTGCAGAGGAGACAGGCTCTCGCAGGATGATGAGGAGGGGAGGGAGATGACGGTAGCTTGGCAGGAAGAGAAACCGAGTGTGTAAGAGTCTGTGGCATCAGATGAATGCAATAGCCTCGAGTCAGAAGCACGTCTGAATCCTCCTGTCCGTGCCTGAAGCATCAAGAGTGGGACGGGCCCTTCCCCATTCCTGGTCTCACAGGGCCCACATCTGAGCCCTGATGGTCTCACAGGGCCCACATCTGAGCCCTGATGGGATTCCAGAGAGGGTTCAATGCTGTGGACTGGCCCTTGTTTCTTCCTTTATCTTTAATCAGCAGGCCACAAGCTTTGAAGTTCCTCAGAATTCCGTGTGGCTAGGGTTCTAGAGGCTAGTCTGTGGTCTGTGGGGATTGATGGAATTTTGGAGAGGGTTTTTTTTTTTCCTTTCCACCACCCCTTGTTTCCCTCCCACATTGGCCCCTTCCCTCCCCCCCCGCCCCCGCCACATTGAACATCTTATGTGCCGCCCTGGAACCGTCCCTGCACAAAACCTTTCTGTCTTCTGGAAGCCTTCATCATAACAAGCAGGCCGCTGCCTGTGGGGCCTGAGTGCCCAGGCTCTGGGGTTACTCACTGGTTCTACCAGTCTGCGTAGCACCGGGCAGGTCACCGAACCTCTCAGCTCCCTCAGTGGTCAGGCAGGGACAATGATGCTACGGAGACGAGTATAGGTCAAGAGCCAGCCCCACTGGACCACTGCTGTGTGACACTCTGAGGACACCAGGAGAGGAAGAGCAGGATCTGCCTATGAGGAGGGGGAGCCTGTTTCCAGGGGGTGGGGAGGCAGGTGCAGGAGAGGTTTGAGGGTGCCTAGGGTGTGCCCAGAAGGCTGGTTATGCCCCTGCTTACCATGGAGACCACCTTTCACCTCCTGTAGAGGCGCCACAGGCCAGAAGGGGGACTGTGGCATCTTGCTTGGTCTGTGTCTGCCTAGTGCTCTGCCAGGACAGGGGGTTTGCCGAGCTGTGAGAGCCTCAGGCAGGGACACTCCAGGAGGGTGCTCTTCCCCTGCAGAAGCCAGCCTCTGGCACTGCTGTCCTTGGCCCTCCAGAAGCCCTCTCTCCTCCTGTCCCCCCACTGCCCCATATCACCATCCTCAGCATAAGGCCCATCTCCGGCAGCGGCCCTTCAAGGCTAAGGGCCTGGCCTGGCTCACTTGTGCTGTGCTTCCCGAGTATGCATCAGCCTGTGGTCTGCCAGGCGGGGGTCATTCATCCCAGCTAACCGAGGAAGAGACTGAGGCTCAGAGAGGTTTGGTCACTTGTTTAGGACTACATGTCCAATGACAGCCAGATTTGGGTGGGTCTTCATAACCTCAAAGCCAGTGTGCTCTCTCTCCCTTTGTACATGACTTCTGGAAGCTCCTGCATCTCACTCTTGGTGCTCCCATACCTTACCTGTTGGCTCAGCCTGCCCACCCCCTCTCTCACCTGGGGCTCAGTTTTGCTGTTCCTGCCTTGTGTGGAATTGATAATCCAGAGGAAGTGGAGGCTTTGCCTACGGGTGTGTCGTCTCTGCTTGTCCTGCTGTCTCAGCAAGTCCCTGGGGCTGCCTCCCCATCTCAGGGCCTTCCCTGGCTGGCCCAGTCCCCTGGCCAATCTTTTCCTCTTACATCCTATATCCTCCCTTGGCTGGGCCAGTGTCCTGAGAGTCATGGGCATGACCCCCACCCCCCACTTCTGTGCAGCCTGGCTAAGCCATTCCCTTCCACCTTCTAGAGTCTACCTCCAGGGCCATCCTCCGTCCCTGGCATGAGGCAGTGGGAGCCTGCTGGCCTAAGCTTTTGGGGCAAGGTGTTGGGTGTTCCACTCCCCTGTTCTGTGCTCATTGGTCTCCCGGTCCGTCGTTGTCTGAGGGCACGCCTGGGACATACGCCAGTCCCACTATACATGTGTGCTGTGTCATTTGTATCATTCAGGTTGTGCCTTATTTGGGGTGGCAGGGTCTCCACTTTCCTGCCTTCCTTACTGGACTGAGAAGACTGTCTGGAAGAGATAGGTGCTGCCAAACCAGGAGGAATATCCCATGGCGCTCAGGGCTCCAAGGCAGGGGTGGGAATGAGGAGCATGGGATGCTCCGTACGCATTTGCATCCAGATAGGAAGGAGCTGCCGTGCTCCGAGGGGTGCTCTGGGCCAGGTCGTGCCCAGGAACTATTGCACAGATCTTGTCTTCTCCAGTCCTGCCAGTGCCCCGATGAGGACAGCTGATCTGGGGAGGCCATCAGGTACAGCCTGCGTTTCTCCACATGGGAGTGTAAGAAGAACAGGGTCAGGCACAGCGTGTGCCCCAGGCCCTCACCCTGGTCTTATCTTTCTCTTTGCAGACTGAGGGCACTCGACTGCAGAAGGATCTCAGGACCTACCTGGCCTCAGTCAAGGGTAAGGGGCAGGAGAGGACCTGGTCTGAGTAGATGGGCTTCATGGGACACTGAGGGGCCTTTGCCACATGAAGCTGATGGGGGCAGAGCTGGGACGGGGACCAGGGTTTGTGGTGAAGGGGTAAGTGCTGGCAGTGGGGACCCACATACCTCCTGGGCCTTCGGAATTGGGGGCAAGGGCGACCCTCCGTGTCCTGCCCCTGCCCCCGTCTTCATCCCCCATGGCCCTGGCTGCAGCATGGCCCTTCTGCCCCACAGCCATGCACGAGGCCTCCAAGAAACTGAATGAATGTCTGCAGGAGGTATACGAGCCCGACTGGCCTGGCAGGGATGAAGCCAACAAGATAGCTGAGGTGAGCGTGAGGCAGGTGACCTCCGTCCTTCCCAGAGGGCCCTCTGGTTTCAGCCCCAGACCCATCCCGCTCTGCCTTATGCTCGGGGACAAGCCCTTCTGGCATTCACATGCTGTGTGCCCTTGGGCAAATCACCTCCCCTCCCCGACCCTCCCAGCTCTGGGCTTATCTGTTCCTTACAGTGGCCCTGGAAGAGGCTATTGGGCAGGAGTTATTACCCCCATTTTACCTGAGGTTCTGAGAAGCTTCTGGCCTGTGAACCCCAGGTCTCTGGGAGGAGAGAGCGGGGGACTGGGCATGGCCCAGCTCCCCTGGCCATATTCTTATGAGCCCTCACCTCCTTCAGAACAATGACCTCCTCTGGTTGGATTACCACCAGAAGCTGGTGGACCAGGCGCTGCTGACCATGGACACATACCTGGGCCAGTTCCCTGACATCAAGGTGAGAGGCACCCTTTGTAGGTCTGTCCTGCTCTGGCCCTGTAGCCTGTGCAGGGGAGGCAGGCGCTGAGGTGACCCTGTCCTGAAGGCGGGCACCTCTCTCACCAGGCAATTCATCCTTCCCTCTGAGGCCAGCTCACCGGCCTCCAGACCTGGGCCTTTCTGAGCTGAGGCCTTTGGGTCTCCAGACTATGGGAAGAGACCCCATGATGCACTTATATCTGTTTGACCATGTCACTGTGGAACAACTATAAGGTTGTAGGAAGTATATAAGGGGAGGTGAGGCCTGAGCACGGGTGCCTAATAGGTGCCCTCCGCTGTGGCCGTTGGGCTCTGGGTGCTGCAGACGTGGAAGCAGAGGTGTTGAGGCCATTTGGTGGTTGTTGTGCTAGACCTGATCCCCTGGGGGTTGGGCTTCATGTTGGCCCCCATGGTACCCAATGCAGATGCCTTGGGCTCCTCAAAATGCCTTATGGGGAAGGCAGGAGGGAGGCAGTGGTGCTAGCCTGGGAGTAGAGAAGCCTGGGGTCCGGCGGGGAGGAGGCTTGTTGACACATTATGGCTGGTGGGTACTGGCAAAAGTGTCTGGAGATTGAAGGCAGTGGTTTGACCTCTGGATAAGCACGGACCCCCAAGGTCATAGGCTGCCTTGAAGGGGTGAGCTCTTTGCCTCCAGAAATGTTGGAGCAAGCGAGTCAAGCATGCATTAGATGCGCTTTTGAGCCTGGGGTCGATTGCCCTGCGCCTTTCGGCTTCATCCAGTTTCCAGTGCCCATAGCCCAGTTTCTCTGAGCGCAGCCTGGGTCAGCATCCCAGCGTGGGTGCCAGGCCCTGTTCAGCAACCCTCCCCCCACCCAACCACCATCTGTCCTCCAGTCACGCATTGCCAAGCGAGGGCGGAAGCTGGTGGACTATGATAGTGCCCGGCACCATTACGAGTCCCTCCAAACCGCCAAAAAGAAGGATGAAGCCAAAATTGCCAAGGTAAGGGCTGGAGGGCAGGGCTGGGGGAGAGTCAGAGGGGGGTACCCAGGTACCCTGGAGGGGCCTTCTTCCTGGGTCGTATTCACCTCACCCCTTTGCACTGTTGGGTCTCACTGCTCCCCTGGGGCAGGAATCATCAACCCCACTCGCAGATGGGTTTACAGCTGGTGACTAGTCCCAGGTAGTAAGCGGGGTGGGGGATGCTGCTGGGCCCATGGCAGGTGAGGGAAAAGCACTTGTGGGCACCTGAGAGAGGGCCCACCCTGCCCATCCTGTGGTGCTTGCCCTGGGCCCTGGGCCCTCTGCCCTGCTCTGAAGCCACTTTCCAGGATGAGAACAGGTCTGGCTTGGGTTTCACTGGAGCGGCCCCTCCCGATCTGGCGTGCTCTGAGTGGAATTCTGTCATGGGAGCCGAGGTGACCCTGTCTCCGCTGGAACAAGCCTGAGGGCACAGGGCTTGAGCTGGTCACACTGTCCACAAGTGAGGGTCTGAGGGTGGATCCCCCTCCCCAGTCCACCCTGGGACAGGAACAAGCTTGCTGAGCCCCTGCTAACGATTCTCATATTTTGCTTTGCAGTTGGAGTTCACCCCTTTCTCTGCCCCTTCCCCAGGGCTCCCCTTAATTCTTTTAGCCTCAAGGGATCTTACCTGCTGGGGGGCTGGACCCCTGGAGGGGTGGCCGGCTTGTTTGTCACTGCATTTGGGACGTTTGGACTTGGTGTTTAATATCTGTGTCTCTGTTTCTCTCTCCCCATCTCCCTCCTGTTTCTCCACTCTCCTTTGCCTTGACCTCCCCTCCCCACCCCCAGCCTGTCTCGCTGCTTGAGAAAGCTGCCCCCCAGTGGTGCCAAGGCAAACTGCAGGCTCATCTCGTAGCTCAAACTAACCTGCTCCGAAATCAGGTGACACTGGCTTCTAACCTTGCATGTGCTGGTGCCTTCTGGTCTGTTGTCCTGTCCTTGGCGCTGGGCGCCTGTCTTGCGCTGCCCAGGGCGGGGGAGGGCTCAGTCACTCTCCTGGGTTGGGGGGCAGGGCCGTTTTCAAATGCCTCTGCTTAGAGAGCACCTGATTTTTTTAAAAAATATTTTATTTATTTATTTGACAGACAGATCACAAGTAGGCACAGAGGCAGGCAGAGAGAGAGGAGTAAGCAGGCCCCCTGCTGAGCAGAGAGCCCGATGTGGGGCTCGATCCCAGGACCCTGAGATCATGACCTGAGCTGAAAAGAGTGCCTGATTTAGATGAGACTTGAGGTCAAATGCGGCAGGGGAGGTGCTGAGAGAGGCTTGGGGCTCTGGTTAACCTGGGTTGGGCCCCAGTCTATTGCTTCGTGCCCAGGTCTCTGGTAGTCCTAGGACTCTGTGAAATCCTAGCCTCTGGGAACACAGGAAAGCCTCTGAGCCATTTGTCCTCTCTGAGGTCTCCTGTCCTGACATGTATGGTCTTAGAGTCTCATAAAAGCTGGAAAGCTATCCAGAATTTACCAAAGAGACAAATCTGTCTGGAGAGGCAAAATCCCCAGCTCAAAGGGACCCTTGGGACCTGTGGACCCTCATGATGCTCCTGGATGGGGAGCCCTGGCAGGGCTCTTCAAGTGTGGCTGGGATGCTGAGACCTGGGGCCTAAATGGTCTGCCCGTTAGGAGTTCCATGAAGGGCAAACTATGCATCACAGTGGTTCTGGTGGGCTTCTTGGAGGAGGGTCTTTGTACAAAACTCCTGACTGGTCCTAATACTCTGACAGTACTTCACTCTTCTCAGCCCTCTGTCCTTGGGATGGGTTGGGGTCTGGGTGAGCTCAGTGTGTCCGAGGACCACTATATACACCCTGGGAGAGGTTGCATCATGGTTTCCTCTCCAGTGAAACTGACAGGACTCCAGCACCCCTTCATGGTCCTGAGGTGGGGATGGGCCACGGAGCCCTGACCCACAAGGTTGGGTTTCTCTTTGGGCAGCTGCCCCATGTTTTCTGGGCCATCTCCTGATTTCATCATCTTCCACCCACATGTGTTGAATGCCTGTGATGTGGAGAGCTCTGGGCTCAGCATGGGATCACGGCCCAATTTCTTACCTGACTTGCTGCCTGATTTCTTTTAGGCCAAAGTTATGGGCTGACTTTGGAGTTGGTGACAGTCCCACCCTGAGGCTGGGGTAACCTGGATCTCCACAGTCTGGGGGAGATGGTCCATGGGAAGTGGAGAAGAGTTGGGGCTGGAGCACCAGCCTGACAAGTAGAGTTCAGGACTTCTGGCTGGAGGGAGAAGGGGCCACTGACCCAGTGCCAGGGTGTCTGCATAATTTTCCCTGAAATGGGTTTCGTGGGAGACCAGATGAAAATTTTTGTTGTCCCTGAGAAACAGGGACAATAAGGGCTTGGGGATAGTGCCTATGGTTTGATTTTGGGCTCCTGAGATGGGTGTGGATGGGGGATCCTGCTGGGAGGGCCCCACACCCCTACCTCAGGGGAGCCACTAGGGAGGCTAACACACATGATCTCATTTTTGGATGTTGGACTGCAGATGTTTGGCCTTTTGGCCAAATTGGCTTTCCCATTTGGACCCAATTTTTATTTGAGCATATCCTCTTTCTGCCCCCACCCTGCCTTAGGCCTGGCTGGAAGAAGGGAGCCTTCTGAGTTCCCATGGGCAGCTGGCTGGCTGTGAGCTGGGGCACTGGGGTCCTGAGACTGTCCTGCTGGTTAACTTGACTCTGGGGAGGGAGTGTGACCTGATGAAGCTGTGCTCTCTCAAGCTGACCAGCACCACATACCCTGTTGGCTCATCTTGAGCTGCTCTCCACACTAGCCACAGTCCCCTCAAACCTGCCTGCAGGACCCTGGTGCCCTGCAGCCTGTTCAGTGGCCTGTTGTGGCTGCTCCGTGTGTCCATCTGCATCTAGTTGAGCCATTGCGGCTGCAAAGCCTCCCCAACAATGGACAGCTCTCCCCCCACTTCCTGCCACCCCAAGTGCTTCTGAAACAGCCCGAATATGAGGAATGGGACCCAAAGGGAATAACAGACAGAGGCCCTGAGTCCCAGGAACACTAAAATAGAGGCACCCTCTTCTTTGCAGCATCGCTGGGTGTGTGAATAGGGCTTGGGCTACCCACGTGGGCTGCTGTGCCACTGTCGTCATCATTGTCATGGATGTTCATCCGAGGCGTTATGACCAGCATTTGGGGAGGTGGCTGAATCCCCATGTTGAGGTGGTCTCTGGGGGTATGGGAGCCAGACCAAGGCAGGTTCCTGGGGAACATGGGCCTTGAGCCAGACCCCTGGCAGCTGGGTCGGAGAGGTGTGTGACAGCGCCGGCACTGGTTACCCCTGTGGGAGTCACTCGTTCTAGGGGTTGTAGACTCATGTTAGTGGCCTCCACTCAGGTACCAGGATGCCCCGTGGGGTAAGGCGGGGAAGGCCCTCTGGATCTGATCCTCTGTGGGAGCTGCACCAGGCATGCATGTTCAAACAGACATTTCTTTTCTTTCTTATTTTTTTCCCCCCTCCTCTACCTTTAATTTTTAAATTAGATTTTAAAAAGTTAGGCATGGAGCTTATGTTCCTTCTAGCAAGTTCTGATAACCTGAAGGTAATTGTAGTCAGGAGGAAGGTGGCCTCTCTCTCCTCCAGCCCCCACCCATGTCACTGAGGCTGGGCTGACTGGGGCTGGTGCCTGAAGCTGGATGGGACAGCTGGGTGGGCCGTGGAAATCGTGTGCTTTGTGGCAGTTTGGCGTTCTGGCCAGTTGGTTTGCCTTTGCCAGAGGGCCTGAGAATGTAAAGGCTGCTGGCGGGAAGTGTTCTCCGGGGAGGGGCCTGCCACGTTCCTGGGTTGTGACTCAGACCCTGAATCCAATTCACCCCCCTGAGTCACTGTTTCCAGCAGCCCCTTCCAAATGAGCTAGCAGAGCTCCTTCTCTCCTCAGGGTCTGTGACTCATCCCTACCCTTCCCTCAGCTTCAGCCCGCTGCCTTATTCCCTACAGTCTTTGGCTGTGGGATGGGGCCTTAGCGCCACCTGATGGTGGGCATGAGCAGGCCTGGAGGGCACTGGGCCTGCCCTGGGAAGGGTGAAGGCTTTGGGGGTGAGCACAGGCATCCTGCCCAGCAGCCTAGCTCCCTCCTCCCCTGGCCCTGCCCTCCCCCCCATCTTTCCCCTGCCTTTCCTGGATGTGCCTGAGCTGCTGCCTCTGGCCTCCAGCTGGTGGGGACAGGTCACAGAGGAGAGAGGAGTAGGGATAGGAAATACTGCTGCCACATCCTACAGGGAGGTGGCTGAGGCAGAGTAGGACCTGCTTTGAGAAAGGGACACTCAGGCAGGGACAGCAAGGGCAAGGCCAAGGGAGCTGGGCAGCAGGTTGATGCTTAGCCTGAGAGGGGGTTACAGGTAAGTGGGCAGAATCCATGCTGGGCTTGATCTAGGGTCTGCCTCTGCCTCCTTCCTGGGCCCCAGCCCCTGGGCCCCTTGTCTTGAGCTTTCTTGGAGTGCCCTGTTCACTTCTCATCTCTCTCCTGGCCCACGTGGGGCTAATGGGCTGCTCTCCTTTCCCCTTCCTGGAGCAGACCTGGAGGCAGGTGTCCTGAGAGGGGAGCATGGGGAAGTCCCCTTGAGTGTCCTCATCTGGTTTAACCCTATCTTGCCCAGAGCCCTGGTCCTAATGTGTTGGGTGGGAGGTTAGGGGGAGCAGGTCTTGGGGGTGGGCTTGGCCTGGCCTGGGCTGGCAGGGACTGAGGCCCCCAGAGGGGAATGACCAGTCCCGCCCCTCAGGCAGAGGAGGAGCTCATCAAAGCCCAGAAAGTGTTTGAGGAGATGAACGTGGATCTGCAGGAAGAGCTGCCATCCCTGTGGAACAGGTAAGTCCCAGGAGGTCGTTGGGCTGAGTCTTGGCCTCTCTCCTGAGGCTTTAGGCGGTATCTTCCTGTGTTTGTCCACTGGGCCCCATGTCTTCCCATGGTTTGGGTCTCTGGGGTGGGTGGAGGTGCGGCTCTCCTGGGCTGTCTGCACTGACCTGTGTGTTCACTTCGCCCTTTTGCTTCCCTTCCTCCCTCCCGCAGCCGTGTAGGTTTCTATGTGAACACGTTTCAGAGCATTGCGGGCCTGGAGGAGAACTTCCATAAGGAGATGAGTAAGGTAGGCCCTGGTGACCCCTGTGCACTTCAGGCCTTGGGCTGTGCTCTGGTGCCAAGGGCCAGGGGCAGAGGCGTACAAGGGGCCGGTCAAGTGCCCTCTTTCCGGCTGGGGCTTGGTGCACACTGGTGACCACAGCGCCACTTCTGGGCCCTGGTCCCACCTAGCCCTGCCCTCCAGGAGCTCTCCATTCTGAGTGTCCAGGCCCAGCTGGAGTGCTGGAGAGGCTGTGAGCAGGACCCCTAGGCCCAGCCCTTGTCTCCTTCCAGTCCCCAGTCCAATCCTCCTTCCTGGACAGAGACAGCCCCTCTCCAGCTGTCAGTGTTGACCCAGAAAGCTCAGAGACAGAGAATGGTGGCACCCTCTCCCAGTTCATAGGCAAATAATAAAGTATTGGAATTTTCTCAATTTTTCTCTCATCTTTTTTAAGACATTGAAACATATCTGTTTTATCTGCCAGAATCTGGTATAAGAAGGGGTCTGATTAGCTTAAATTCTTATGTTGTGCTATGTTCATTTTAACTTAACTGGCAATTAAACTTGCAAAGCAGAATTGGAGAAACCCAGTGTTGGCAGCCCTTCCCTCTATGCTGTCAGCAGGTCTGACTCTGTCTCTTGGCCCCAGAGGAACAAAGTGATGGTAGTGGATTCCAGGCCCAGGGTGGGAGGAGAAAAAGCAGCTTGGGGCCTATCCTGAGTCACCACCCTGACCATGGTTTCCTGCCTTTTAGGTCTTCCCTTTCTTTTCCTTCCTCCCTTTAAAGATCTGAGACAACTTATGAAAAATTAAAACAAACAAACAAACAAACAAACAAACAAACAGAAAAAGGCATTTGAGGAAAGGAAACCTCTTATCTTGCCTGTGCTTTTGGTGAAATCTCTGGCAGTCATAATGTGGCCTGGAAACATCTTGGCAAAATGACCTTAACAGATAGAATCTGAAGTTAGTTTGCAAAAACAATTAAAAACATTTAAAAACAGTACATGTTGTGTGAGGCATTTTAGGAAATTTCTATGAGTCGAAAGAAAAGACAGTCCTCCGAAACAGTAACGATTTAGCAATGGAGCCCGTTTCCTCCATTTTCCCCTTTGGTTTTCTGGGTCTGGTGTGCGTTTCCCAGTTCCGACTGATAGAGTAAGGAAAGCTTATTCCTGGTCAGGGACAGGGGTGCCAGGAAGGGGCCAGGGTGTGGGAGAAGCAGGGATGTGACTGGGGACAGTGGGGCTGTTTGGTGGCCCCAGAGGCACTGCCCACCTGCCTGCTGTTTCTCCTGCAGCTCAACGAGAGCCTCAACGATGTTCTGGTCAGCCTGGAGAAGCAGCACGGGAGCAACACCTTCACAGTCAAGGCCCAGCCCAGGTGTGTGGCACGCACTGCGGTCCGGCTGCAGATGGCTGGGAGGAGGTGTGGTCCTGGGTGGCTCATTCCTGCCAGACCAGGGCGAGGCTTGCATGCCACGTCCCTCCGGTGTGTCCCACTGGGAAAGAGCACTCCTGGGCAGTCTGTGTATGCCCTGAGCCTGGGCCTGCCTCTCCCATTGGTGGAGTTGGAGTAGCCAGGGACGCTGTGCAGCTCTGGAGGGGAGGCCCAGGAACTAAATGATTCAGTGCTGGAGCAGAGCCACCTGGGAGGTGAGCCTTCCTCCTAGAGCTGGGAGGCAGTGCAACCTTTCCCCTCTCCTGCTCCTGGGAAAGGGTGAGTCCCTGGAGAGTGGCATTCTGCATACCCACAAAAGCATCCTTGTTGCTGTCTTCAGCCCGGCCCGCCTCTCAGGGCCCCTTCAGCGTCCAGGAGATTCCTGCTTCCTGAGGGGAAGCCATGAGGAAGGGGGGAAGTGCCTTGCCCTCTTCTGGCTGCGGCTCAGGGGAAACAGTAGCGGGTCTGGGGTTTCCCTTCCTTTCTGGCTTGCACCTGTGGCAGCACAGTGTGGAGAGCATGGACGAACCTCGCTGTCCTGTCTGTAAAACTGGTGAATATATCTGTGCTTGAGGTCGCTGGGAGGTCCCCCAGGACTGAGAAGGTAGTGGGTGTTGCTGCTCTCTTCTCCCCGAAAATAAGACCGGACATGTGTGACTGAGGGGGGCTGAGGCCAAGGACTGCATCCGGGCCAGGAGGGAGTGGGGATAAAGGCCAGAAGGCCATTTCGCAGGTCTCTGAGCTGCTCCCACCTGGCCTCTGGGTAACGGTGGGAGGGTCAGGATGGGTGAGGAGGGTGGCGAGCAGCAGCTGGCCTGGGCGGCCGGATCCATGCATCCTGTGGGAGAAGGCTGGTTTGAGCTGATGGGGGCATGGGGAACTTTGCAAACCTCCTTGACCACGGTGGCCCATTTTGTGCCTGGTTGCCTCCTCTCACAGCCCCCACACCGGCCAGTGGCCCTCCCGCCCCACCCGCTCCCCCCTGGCACCGTGGGCCCCCAGAGCCCCTGTGCTGAACCACGGGAATGAGTAGGTGGCTGGTAGTCTCCCCCAGCTCATCATGCTCTCTTTTGGGGCTGCTCCTTTTGCTCATTTTTTCAGCTCCATCCCAGGGCACCTGGAAGTAGGCCGAGGCCAGTGGGGTCCCCAGGACCAGGCGATGGGGTTCTGAGGGCAAGGTCAGGCCCTCTTCATGGTCTTTGAGTCTTAGGGGAGGCTTGGCTCTGTGGCACTCCTCTGAGCACAGGGGTTGCTGATGTGGGAAGGGAACAGGCCAGCCAGCCTCGAATCAGGCATGATTCATGCCCGAAATGAAGGCCTCCGTGTCCCGTCCGTTCCCACAGAAAGAAAACTAAACTGCTCTCCCGGCTGCTCAGAAAGAAGAACAGGTACCAGCACCGAGTGCTGCCTTGTGGGGGTGTCCGAGGCCAGCACCCCGGCCATCCGGCCCCGTGCATGCGCCTAGAGCCCTTCTCGGAGGGTACCACTAACCCCTAACCTGTCCTCCCGTGTGCGGTGCTATGGGCGGGACTGCTGGTGGGAGGGGGACTGCAGGGCGGCAGGCTGAGCCGTGTCTTCTGTGTGTTGTGGGGGCAGAGGGCTTGGGGGCTGTTGGGTGGGAGCAAGGGGGGCACATGGCCAGAGCTCAGCTGAGTCTATTTCTCTCTGTACTACAGTGTGTTCACCAGGCTGTGGCCCCGACCAGGAGGTTAATGAGGGAATGTAGCCAGAAAGGAGGCCTGGTGAGCCTCAGGGGAAGGGCTCTGGTAGCAGGTGGGGTTTTTAAAAATTGTGTGTGTGTGTGTGTGTGTGTGTGTGTGTGTGTGTGTGTGTGTACTGTGTTACTATACATGCTCTAAGGAGGCAAATACATTCCCATGAAACACAAATTGACTAGAGATGAGGCGAGACCATGATGTACCTCACACCTGTCACCTGTCCCATCATCTAACCCCCTGCTCCCCAGGTGATGTGGTCGCTAGCTCTTTGTAGCCTTCCAGAGCTGCCCTGTACGGTATTCGCTGGTGAGCACTTGAAATGCGGCCAGGGCCACTGAACGCTGAACTGTTAATTTCACTTAATTTGAATACGAATTCAAACGGCTGTCTGTGGCCAGTGGCTCTTCTTCATCAGGGCTGGTCTAGAGCTTCCTAATGCAAGGACAAATACACGTTTTTATTTTCTGCTCCCTCGCACCCGAGTGGCTGGTGACGCACACAGTTTGCCCTTGTTCTCTGTTCTATACTGAACCATATGGCTGGGAGACCTCCCCTTCTCATCCCCAGCAACCACTCTGGCTGTGCCTCTGGTTGGATTCTTCTGTTTTCCCCCAAAGGGCCTGGGGGCACAAAGGTGTGGAGATGGTGACGGCGGTGTGGGTGCGGAGTGGGTGGGCAGTGTGGACTCTGGGAATGGGGCAGTGGTTGGTGTCCTGGTGTGAGTGGGTGGACAGGCAAGGAGGCCAGCCGAGGCCTTGAGGAGCTGGCTGAGGCGTGGGGCCCAGGCTGGGCACTGGGGCTGCTGCGTGACGTGTGGGATGAGACTCATTTGCCTCTAGGATGTTTGGCTTTCTTGTGCTGTGGAACAGGGCTCCCTGGTGGAGCTTGGCAGCGGCCTGTGGGGTGGCTTCCCTGGGGACTGAAGACCTCCAGCTTGGAGTTCCTCCTGGGGCTGTCATTGTCTCCAAGGCAGGCCCTGTGCCCACGCCCCTTCATTTCTCCCCACTCTGATACACATGCACATGCATTTCTCCCATGCAAGCACGGGGACATACACTCATGCACACGTGGACATTATATTTTCACAGCAAATCTATGTGGACACACATACCCCCTCCTTTTCACACATTGGTGGACACACATGCCCACATGGACACATGTTTTCACACAAGGATTCCTGGGGTACACATCCCACCCCATGCACACCTATGGATTCCTACATTGCCTCTTGTAAGCGGTGACCTCCCTCCATCAGGCTTCCTCTCTGGTCTTACCTCCACAGTGACAACGCCCCTGCAAAAGGGAACAAGAGCCCTTCGCCTCCGCCAGATGGCTCCCCGGCAGCCACACCAGAGATCAGAGTCAACCACGAGCCTGAGCCGCCTAGCTCCGCCACAACCGGGGCAACCCTCCCCAAGTCCCCATCTCAGGTAGGCACCCTGTCCCCTCCTCGTCTTCCTTCTACATTCCCGGTGTCCCCCTCCTTCCCAGTCTTCCATCCCCAACACTGGCCTGGGCTCCCCTCAGTGAGGGTGCCCTGCCTTCTCTCAGGAGCACCTGTGACTGTTTCTCTCCCTCTACCCCCACAGCATCCTCTCCTTCCCTTTCTCCCTAACCCTTGGGGCTGCTGACTTCCTCCTCCTCCTTTCCTTATGGGCTCCCAGGGCCCTCAGCCCCAGGGCACTGAGATCTGTAGAGGTGGCTGCTTTCCCTCCTCCTCACCTTCCTTCTCTCTAGGTGTGGGGCCATGCAGGACCTTTACAGGGTCAGCAAGGGAATGGGCTCAGTGAGGGGAGTGTGCAATAGCTAAAGGGACTTGCTGTGAGCTTCCAGAAGGCCCCCACCCAGCCTAACCTGGCCCCCACCCCTGCCAGTTTCTCCAGGTTTTAGTCATGTCCCCAGTTGCTGGCCAGCAGCTCTGTTTGAGCTGTCAGCCTTCTCCTACCATCAGTTCCTGGCAGCAGCCCTCTTGGTGGTGGGCCATTGCCCGCCCCGCAGCTGATTAGGATAACCACGTTAAGAGTGTGACAAGAGCCCACACTTGAATAGCACTTGCTCTGGGCCTGACACTGTGCCAGTGCGTTCTACATTTTCATCCATTCAATCCTCATAACCACTCTGTGAGGCCCAGCCCAGCTCAACATCTGAGGAAACCGAGGCTTGGGGGGTTTCCTTACCTGCCTGAAGTCCCCCTCTGCCAGGCGCTGGCTCCTGCTCTGCCACAGGGGACAGGCAAGCCAAAGCTCCTTGGGCGGGAGGTGCAAGGAAGGTCGAGAGCCCAGCTGGGAGGGAGGCTTTCTTATCTACTCCTCTCTACAGTGTCTCACCCAGCTGGGTGTCAGCCTAGTTTTTTTTTTTTTTTTCCCAGTGGCCGCTAGGCAGCCTGCACGCTCTCCCTTTTCTCTCCTTTCCTTTCTATCCTCTCCCTGTCTTTCTCTTTTCACTTCCTCCCCCCTCGGTCCCCTCCTCTCCTCCTCTCACTCTGTACATTGTTTCTGGACCTCTTGCCTCAATCTCCCTCTGGGGGTGGCCCTGTAATTCTGGTGTCTGTGCCTTGGGCGGCAGTGATTCCTCCGGCTTCGTTTCCTTCAGTTGCCTGGGTGGGGCCACAGTCTGGGGTGTGACTAACTGTGGCTTTGTCTCTGTCTGTCTGTCTGCCCCGCCCTGTCCCCCACGCTCCGCTGGGCCTCCCCGTGCGGCCCCTCACCCGTGGACCCACAGCTCCGGAAAGGGCCACCAGTCCCTCCGCCTCCCAAACACACCCCGTCCAAGGAGGTCAAGCAGGAGCAGATCCTCAGCCTGTTTGATGACACGTTTGTCCCTGAGATCAGCGTGACCACCCCCTCCCAGGTCAGCCGCGGCCACCGCGGCCCAGCTCTCTCTTGCTCTCTCGGGGTGTGCATGGCCTTCTTCCTTCATCCCATGCCCTGCGCCTCTGCCTCAAGAGCCAGAATCTGGCCCTAGAGGTTGGCCCAGAGCCTCCCCCTTGCTCATTCATCCATCCCTCCATCCATCCTCCCTCATCCATCTCTGAGCATGTACTGTGGCCAGATACAGGGACATAGGTGGGTGGTTCTTGTGGAGCCGGTCAGCTCAGTAGTGGCTTCTTACCTCCACTGTTGGCATGGCCAAAGGGCAGAGCGGGATGTGGGGGAGGACTCGGGCCATCAGGGAAGGCTTCCTGGAGCAGGTGACATTTGCCAGGTGGCTGTAAGCAGACTCATTGCTTTACCTAGAGAAAGCAGCATGTATGTAGGCCAGGAGGGGTAAGACATGGGCTCAGAAACTTCTGGGAGTTCAGTGTGTCTGCAGAGTGCTGCAGTATGGCAGTAAGAGGAGGCAGTAAGAACACAGTTGGGAAGACCCTGGTATGTCTGGCCAAGGCACCTAGACTTTAGCTCCCAGAGCTGCTGTCTGGCTTTGGAGTTGGGATGGTGCTTGGGCCATAGAGCAGGGCTGCTGCTCATAAGTGCCCCGAGAAGGTATGTCATGCCTGTCCCCAGAGGGACAGAAGGTCACTGTGGTGGCACGGGAGTGGGCTGCACATGTCAGATCAGCTCGCAGAGGCCACACTGGGCTCACCCCTCTGAGTCTTGTCTCTAGGCCTTACAGCCCTTGGCTGTAAGCCCTTCCCACTAGGGTCCTCACTTGTGGTGCAGGCTGGCTAATCCCAGGTTGTGGTCCCCTGCTCTGGAGCACTGCCATAGAGTTGCTCTGCCCAGGGCCTCTGTGCTCTGCCCCCTGAAGGCTCCCTTGCCCAAGCTCAGATGCCTGGAGGGGAAGGGCAGGGCCAGAGAGTGTAAGTGTGAAGGGAGAGCCAGTTGACAACTGAGGACAGTGGTCTCTGCTCAGAGGAGCCTGGGGAGAGTGGGCCTTAAGCCCCAGCAGGAAGACTCCAAGTTAGAACTAGGAACTTTCAATACAGTGTGGCTACTGGGCAGGTGGGTGACACTCTGGCTCAGGGCCCTGGGAGGCAGGCGAACTCCCCTCTGTAGATGGTGGCCTGTGCTGGTCCAGGGGCGCTCCTGAGCCATGAGGAAACCTGGAGGCACAGCGTCTTGGGCAATGTGCTGCTGGAACGCCGTAGGTCTTCACCCTGGTGCTGTGCTCGGGGGATATAGGAAGATGCAGAGCGCTAGTAAACACTCAGTGGGGAATGGCGCCAGCCACTTATCTACGCGAGCTTGTTGGGTTTTCATCTACACTCCGGGAGGGGGTTGTTGTCCCCATTTAACAGGTGAGGAACCCACGGGCCTGCCCTGGAGCCAGACTGCCTGCACCGAGTGTGTCGGCCTCTCTGTTCTCACGCTCGCTGCATGCCTGCCTTGCTACCCTATCTGCCCACTCCAGGGAGCCAGATCTTTGTCCCGGGGGACGGGATGCATACACCGTGGGTGCTGTTGCCTGGGGCTGGGGTGGGCTGTTGGCGAGGCTGTGCTAATAGGGCTGCTCTGCAGGGCTCAGGTGAGTAGCCTGTGTCCCTACACCAAAGGACAGTTCTGATCCTCCATGAGGGGGAAGCTGGCCAGCTGGGAGGTAGGGCAGGAGGATGTGGTCTGCCTTTGGCCTGGCGACCTTGTCCCCTTGGATCATGAGAGGGTAGCTATCTGGTCTTGATGGACTTCTGACAAGGGGCTGGTGCTGGGGCTATCTGGGGGAGGGAAATGCTGCTGCCATCAAGTGGGAGGCCACCTAAAACCATGCACTCATGGAGTCTTGAGCACTCTCTCGCTTAGAGAGGGCAGGGTTTGGGGGTCAAAGCAGTGACACCCCCTCCCCCCACCCGCCCCAGCCCTGGCCCATTAGATAAGGACCAACCTAAGGAAAGTTAGTGGCTGGGGGTGAGCCTAGGGCAGAGGCTTGAAGATCGGGACCCATGTTGAGGAAGTGAGACCACTTGGCCTGGGCTCTCTGTCTGTGGCTTGGCCCAGAGTGGATGCCTTATCCTCCGAGCCGTGGGACAGCTGGTACTTTGGATTCTCAGAATTGAGAGTCTTGGGTCTCTCCTGGTAAGCCACAGCTCAGGTGTGAAGGTCTTTCTGGGGAGATGGTCTCCCTAGGACCAAAGCCTTGGGTCCTTGTTGTTGGAAGACTTCAGATGGACACAGGCAGGAAAGGTGCTTCTCTCGGCACTGGGCGCCATCAAGAGCGAGTAGACACTGGAAGCTGGGCTGGCTCTCCTGGCACGCATGAAGTAGGGCAGGAGGACCCAGGGCCAAGCCAGGGCCCTCTTCTCTCAGGCAAAGTGTTCCCTGACCCCCAAAGGGCAACCCTGTGCGTGAACAGGAGGTGCCCCTGAGCAGGCCCCGCCTGACCCAGCCTAACCTCCTCAAGGGCAGCTCTCCCTCTGTTGTCTGGCCCAGCTTCTCAGTGTGAACACAGTTTCCTGTTACAAGCATATTCCTAGGCTGCACTCAGGCCCCCTGAATGGGAGTCTCTGGGGGTGGCTGGGGGTAGGACCTGTAGTTTGAGCACAAGTGCCCCCAGTGTTGGGGAACCCACACTTAAGATTGGGCTCCTAGTCAGTGTGCTCTGGCTCAGCCCTGTCCTGACTCTGAGGAGCTGATGGGAAGGTGGGTGTCCCTGCAGATGACCTGTCTGTCTAGGGGTAGCGAGGGTTGGCCAGGGTCTGTCCTAGGGGCCCCCTCTCAGTTAGAGGGAGTGTGTGTGGTCTCGTCCAGCCCAGGGTGGTGGACTGTGCTGCTTCTGGGGTGGGGGTGGGGAGGCTGGAAGAGCCTGAGGATGTGGGGAGCAGAGAGGAGGAGCAGGCGCTGGGAGACCGTCTCGGCCTGCAGGACAGAGTCGGGGCTGGTGCTGGTGGGTGGCTGCCCTGGTGGGTCTGTTGCTGGTGTCTGAAGTGGGTGGTGGGTGCTGTTTTTGTGTGCGAGGAGCTCATGCCAGGGTTGTGCACAGGCTGTGCTCCTTTGTGTGTGAGGCGGAGGTGTCTGTGAGTGTGTGCACCTGCCGTGTGTACCCCATGGAATGCTCCCTGCCAGTCACTAACTGCCTTTCTCCTCTGCCACTGCTGCCAAGTTTGAGGCCCCGGGGCCTTTCTCGGAGCAGGCCAGTCTGCTGGACCTGGACTTTGACCCCCTCCCACCTGTGGCGAGCCCTGTGAAGGCACCCACACCCTCTGGTCAGGTTGGTCTGAGTCCACCAGCACCTGTGGGCCCATGGGTCTATGGGGCACTGGGTGATGGGCTCAGGTCTGGCCATGTGTGCACATCTGAGCCAGGCCTTTGGGATCGTGGGGTCAACAAGCTCTCTTCACACTCACTACCCTTCTCCTGGCCCCCAGCTCTTGTCATCTCCTCCAGCCTTGAGCAGGAGGAGGGTAAGAGCACACACAGGTCAGGGAGAAGGCCCTCAAGAGGAGGGTCAACTGAACACTCACTCGGTAACTTAGGGGCCCTGTCAGCGTCCTTCCCCTCTCCTTGCAGAAGGCCCACGTCTGGGTGCTCGCTGGCCTGGGGTCTCCTCCCCCTGGCTGGCATCCAGGACTTGACCCTCTGGAGACCCGGGAGCCTGGTTCCATGCTGCCCTGTCCCTGCTGAGCTGTAGGGACCTGGGTTGGGGGTCACTGGGGACAGCTTCCCCCCTCTCCCCAACTAACCTCTGTACTAACTCTCTCCTTCTCCCTCTCTGCTGCGTTTAGTCAATTCCATGGGACCTCTGGGAGGTAAGCGGTGTTTGCTCTGTGCCCACCCCTGGGGGGAGGGGCTGCTCTCTATGTGTGTCCGGTCCCGCCCTGGCCTTTTCACAGGTGCATGCACATGCCCGCACGGGCCAGTGCTTGTGCGCACAGGGAGTGGGCCGCCACGGCTTGTCTCCAGCTGTCCCACGGCTTCCCGTCTATGGAGAAGCTCCTCTCAGCCAAGCCCTGTGGGGAAGGGGCTCCTCATCTTAGCTGGAGAAGAGGGTCTGTGGTAGCTCCGTAGTCAGGGTCTGTGAGCAGTTGCCTGGGAGGGATGTGATGTCCTGCTGGGCTGAGGCCTGTGAGGGGGGCCTTGGGGTAGAGGGTCTTTGTCCTTGAGGAGTTGTCTATCTGTGGGGGCCCTGTAGGGCAGTGGCATCAGGGAGCTGCTGGGACAGCGGGGAGAGGGAGGGCGGCTTGAGACACAGGATGAACAGGGTGAGCCCAGGTGTCCTCGTGTGAGCAGGTCTGCTGGGTGGGCGTCATCATCACTGGGTGGCTCGGGCATGCGGCTCAGGGAGGGCATGGGACATCATCAGCAAACATGGTGCGGCTTCTGCAGGATCAGGGGCAGGTGGTGTGGAAGTGCTGGTAGCACAGTCTCTCGCCAGCTCCAAGGCTCCACATAACCTTACTCTGGGGGAGGTCAGAGAAAGCCTGGTGTGGGCAGCCACCTTGATAAGTGGGTTTTGGTGGGTACTGAGCTATGTGCGGCTCATTTGCACCTGCTCGTCCCCTTGGCAGTGCTAGGAGCAAGGAAGTGGGTGTGGTTTTCTCTTTACGGGTTCCATGTCTGTCCCCCGCTGGGCCAGGCTGCCTGCCACAGGTACCCAGTCTCCCTTCTGCCAACACTGGGCTGCTCACGACTCTCTTCTCTTGTCTCGTGCCCTTGCCCAAAACCTCTCCTCCCTGGTCTCCCCCCTCCCCCCACCACCCTATTCTCCCTGGTGGCCCGTCACTAGCCCACAGAGAGTCCAGCTGGCAGCCTGCCTTCCAGGGAGCCCAGCGCTGCCGAGGGCACCTTTGCTGTGGCCTGGCCCAGCCAGACAGCCGAGCCGGGGCCTGCCCAAGTAAGTGTCCACCTGCCAGCCTCCACCTGTCCCCAGTCTCTGGGGGTGTAGCAGTGAGGAAGAGCCCCGAGGAGGGGGCACAGGATGGACAAGGCCTCTGGGCCTGATGGCGAGGCCAGGGCCATGAGCCAGGAGGCCCCACGTTGGGGCTTGTCACTCCTGGTTGCAGTGATTCAGGCCAGACGGGCCCTTCTCCTCCTTGCCAGCCCCAGCCTCCCAACTTAGTCCTCCCGCAGATGGAGGCAGGTGTGTTCAGAGCATCTACTGACCTATGGCAGGCACTTTCCAGAATTTTCTCATTTAATTTTCTCCCTAACCTAGACATTTCCTCCTTTTACAGATGAGGAAGGTGGGGGCTAGGAAGCTTGAGTGATTGCTCCCAGAGCTTGGAACTGGCTGAGTGTGAGTGTTGACCCAGGTCAGCCTGACTGAGGCTGGGCAGTGTCCACTCTGCCTTGGCTGGGCCCCCACCATGGTGCCCAGCTCTCTGCTGTCCCCTTCTTGGGGTTTGCTTGGCCTGCCCTGGGTTGTTGGGGCTGGGACAGGTGCTTACTGTTGTCCCTGAGTGTGGGGTCTACTGGCTCAACCACCAGGCCAGGCAGGTGGGAAGAAGCTGAGAGTTGGCCCGGTCTTGGGCATAGAGGGCAGGGCCTGTGAGGGAGGGTCTTGGTGGCACCCAAGGGCCTGTGTGGCAGGTCATTTGGCATCTCTGTGCTGCCAGCACCTTCTCCAGCTGCTTCTCCAGCTGCTTCTCCAGCTGTTTCCCGGGGCAGGAAGCTGGCCTTCCCTCCAGGGGCTCCCTGTACCACACAGCAGCACTGGCGAGCTCTAGACACCACTTAGGGTACTGCCCTCCATGCCCCCCTTCCTTGTCCTGGTTACAGCGTCTGTCCTGTGTCTGACCCCATGCCGGCATTTATGTTGCAGCCAGCGGAGGCCTCGGAGGTGGCGGGTGGGACCCAACCTGCGGCTGGAGCCCAGGAGCCCGGGGAGACAGCAGCAAGTGAAGCGGCCTCCGTAAGACGACAGGGGCCAAGGCCCTGTCTTTTCTTTCCTGCTGTCCACCTGCCCTCCCGTTCGTGGCTCCCCAGCCCTGTGTCTTGCCTATGCTCCTTGCTCTGTGCTGGTCCAGGTTACAGTTCCTATCGAGGAACCCGGAGGCAGACCAGTCTGGCATCGGTCACAGAGACCCTCCCCTTCCCTTGCCTCTGTGGCCCCTGCCCTCTTGGGACCAGCTTCCTGCCCATGCTGACTGTGTTTCCTCCCCCCAGAGCTCTCTCCCTGCGGTGGTGGTAGAGACCTTCTCAGCAACTGTGAACGGCACCGTGGAGGGTGGCAGCGGGGCGGGACGCTTGGACCTGCCCCCGGGGTTCATGTTCAAGGTAAGCCTTGGCCAGCTGACCCGACAGCCTCTGCCATCATCTGACCCGACAGTGCCCTTTTACAGATGAGGGCACTGAGCTAGGACGCTACATGTGTTTGCCCAAAGTTCCCCAGCCCCCACTACCCCTGCTACCCAGTCTGCGAGGTGGCATCTTGAGCCCTGGTCCTGTTGCTTTCCCGTGCTTCCCAGTCACCGTGTTTCCAGGGCACACTGAAGCCACCACAAGGACTGGTGCTCTGCGCTAGGTTGCAGGTGGGACCAGAGGCTTCGGAGGATGGGGTGTTGAGCTCTCCCCCAACCTGTGCAGGTGCAGGCCCAGCATGACTATGTGGCCACAGACACGGATGAGCTGCAGCTCAAGGCTGGTGACGTGGTGCTGGTGATCCCCTTCCAGAACCCTGAGGAGCAGGTAAGGGGCAGGAGTGGCCAGCAGGGGGCAGCAGAGACCCACCAGTGCGCAGCTGCTCACCCCTCCTTCTCTTTCTTTTTCTCTTCTCCCCTCGCTCATTTCCCCCTCCCTTCACCTCTCTCCCTTGTCTCTCCCTTCCCTTTGGTGTCTCCTCCCGTGCTGTCACATTTCCCTGGGTCTTCGTGTCCCCTCTGCCCATTTCCTCGGGCTGTCAGCTTTCCTTCTGGCTTCCTCCCTTCTTGGCTCTGCCTTTCTCTCAGGTTTTTGCATCTAGGTGTCTTTCTCCCCTTCTCCTCCCCTACCCTTCAAAGTCTCCTTCCCCTCCTAGGACAGGATCCCTGGCCACCTCTCCGTGAAACCTTTGGCCCAGCAGCGAGCCGGTGAGGTGTCCTCTCGTCAGCCTCATGTTGGGCTGCCTCTTCCAGGCTGGCCTTGCCCCCTGCCCACAGGGACAGTGTGTGGTTTCCTGCAGGACCCCCAAACACCTCCAGCTGTGTCCCCAGCTGCTTCCCAGGCCAGATACCTTTCCCTGCGGTGGCTTCTCCTCGTTAGTCGATCTCAGAGTGAGCTCCTAATGGAGCCTGGACCTAGCACAGTAGGGACTGCCCTCCTAAATTCCCACAGGCTGCTTGCTTTGGGTAACTGTGGTTTCTTAGCAGGAGCTCACTGTGGTGCTGAGACTTGAGTATAGTAGGTGTCGACTGAGGCCACAAGGGCTAGGAGGTTTGAGTAACAAATGTCCTAGCCCAGTGCTAAACTGGGCCCAGTGCTAAACCTACCAATTCCCCTCAACCCCCGGCTCTCCACTCATGTCCTCCCAGGGCCAGCCCTGGACTGGGTGGGATTTTAAGAAGCAGAATCCTGGCCCCCAGCCCGCAGTGGGAGTCATGTGGGTGGGTGGACATGGGTCAGAGAACATACATAGGCTCTGTGACTGGTAGGCCATGACATAACGAAGACCGAGGGAGATCCCAGACTTAGTGGTGTCAGTGATGGCCTCCACCTTGGGCAGGGATGTATGGCTCCTGTGGGCCCAGGGGTCAGGGTCTGGGGCTAGGGATCTTGTCAGGGCTTGGGTAGGTGGTCCCTGTGAGGGGTCAGTTTGAAAGCAAAGGCCAGGTGTGTGGTAAAGGGCTTGAGGGGGTGGCCTTGAGTCAGTTGAGAAACTTTAACTGGTCAATGCTCACCAGAAATTTCTGGATCCGTAGAAGTCTGGAAGAACCCCTGATGTGCTCTGTGGGCACCAGAGAGTGGGAAGCTCCTGGCCTGGGATTGAGGGTGTTCAGATACATTCAGACCAGTGCAGCAGTTAGGCTGCCTTTCTAGAGAGAGGAGGACTCGCCCAAATGCCAGAGTTAAATCCACCTGCTAAATAAAAGGCAGATGGCTCCTAGCCTGGGCTGGTTTGAATCTGGGGTAGCAGGGAATGCTGCCTGGAGGAGGCATTCTTTCAGGTGGGTGTCTGGAGGAAATGATCAGGAAGAATGAGGGGATATCCTCCCAGCAGGTCTCCAGTGTGACCCATGCCCTGCAGGGTTTGAGTGCCCTCTGTCCCCTTCCCTGTGTGACCTGGGTGCTCCGCTTCACTCTCAGGATGAAGGCTGGCTCATGGGCGTGAAGGAGAGTGACTGGAACCAGCACAAGGAGCTGGAGAAATGCCGGGGCGTCTTTCCCGAGAACTTCACCGAGCGGGTTCAGTGAGGGCAGCAGCCACCGGCTCTCTGGGCGTGTGAAGAACACCTTTTCCCGAAAAATGTGTGGGCTTTTTTTTTTTTTTTTTTTTTCTTTCCTGATTTTGTTTTTAAACTTTTGGAAAAGAAAAGGGGAATTGAGAGGAGAGACCCAAGTCAAGAGGTGTTCTCCCAAAGATTAGGTTGTTTTCCAAAGAGCCTGTTTTCGGCAAGTCCAGTGGAATCACCAGTGTTCCTGAAGCTGCTGTGTCCCCTAGTTAGGTTCCTGGCCACCCCGGTCTCCCCCGCCCCCACACTGTGCCCGCATGTGTGCCCGGCCGCAGGGCGGGGCCTGGGGGCTGCCGAGCCACCACGCTTGCCTGAAGCTTCGGCTGAGCAGCCCGGGCAAGGGTCCTCTTTTTCCTGGCAGCTGCTGTGGGTGGGGTCGGGTCTCTCCAGAGACCTCAGGGCCCAGACATCGGCCTGGCCTGGCCCTGCCCTGCAGACCGTCTGTGTGCTGTTTGAAAATAAATCTTAGTGTTCCAAGCAAAATGAAACCAGCTGACAAAGACACGCAGAAAACTTGTGTTCATTTATTTGTCCTCACTCCGTTCCTGTCTGCAGTGCGACCACACCGTGATTATCAGTGGGTTTTCTACTGAGGCACTCCGCCCCACTGACCCTGTGCCCAGGCAGGTGCTGCTGGTCAAGAGCCTCCGTTCTCCCAGCTGCCCCACCAGCTGCGGTGTGCTCGCCATCGCCTATGGAGTTGCTCTGGGCCCCACTGAATGCTTCAGCCCCTGCCCCCTGGCCATTAGACTGGTGGTCAGTTGGGGTGTAGGTGATGGGGGCCAAGAGACAGGCAGGGAAGGAGCTTGAAGAGCCAGCTAGGTGCTGCCCTAAGTGACATTATTTAATATGTGTGAGAACTGTGGGCTCAGGTGCCAGGACTCCATTTCCCAGATGTGGAAGTGGAGGCCCAAGGAGGGTGGGTGGCTAGCTGGTGAGTAGTGGGACAGGATTGTGAATCTGCACAGTTGGCCTCAGGGGCATGGGAAAGGCCTGAGCCTGGTGCCAGGAAGGACAAGCACAGCCGGGCCAGCTTCTCACTCTTCACACCACCTGCCTCGCTTTCCAGCACGAAGGTCCCCACTGCATGCGGCCCAGCTCTTTAGCTGCTCAGTGAGCTTGGGTCACTGTGAACAAGCCTGTGACATACACAGCGGTGGCCTGGGTCTGGAGCTGTGCTCGCGGGCCCGGGGACCCGCTGGACTTCCAGGTGGAAGGGACGTCTCCCTACATAACTTTGGATAGTGGAGAAAAGCCAGTGAAGGAGATGCACGTCAGAGTCTTAGATTTATTTTTGGGTAAAACCCCTGAGCTTTGCTTCAGGGGGGATAATCACTGCTGTGGCCTTTCCTTGTCTGTGGCTGACCGTGTTGGCTCTGCCCACCATGGTTTCCGTGAGCACGGTGGGGGCGGGGCACACTGAGCTCATTTCCAGTTACCTCTGCTTTGGAAGCTTTAGCTCTTCATTCATTTGTCCATTCCTCCCACGTTGACCACTCATGCTGGCAGAGGTGGGCTTGAAGTTCAGGCTTGGTTCCCTCCACTGTGCTTCAGAACCTGGGGTGGGGGGTGTGCCGTGAGAATCTTCCGTTTTATTTCATGGTGAGAAATTTAAACACATCGTGCAGGACAAAACATTTGCCTTAGGTTTGTCTCAGTATGAGATTCATGGATGTATCAAACGGTGGCTTTGAGCTTCATCCCCTGACCCTCAAGGAGGTCCTGCCCCTTGCGGTGGGGCTGCATTCAGCAGGAAAAGCCCTGCTCCGTCTCCCAGGGTTGGCGCCTGCAGGGAGCTCTGTTTAGGCAGTGGAGGAAGCTGACCCTGCACAGATAGCTCCCAGAGGGAGGGAGCCTGGGTGCGGTACCCCTGCCCAAATGGTAGGCAGTTGGCCTGCAGCCGAGTGTCTGGGAGCTGGGACACTACCAGGTTTGTGTCTGTCTGAGAGGAATTCAAAATTTTAGAGGCGAACAGCACATACCTTGTCATGGCTAATGGCCCCTCTCCTTGCCCAAGGCCACAGACTCTGCACAAACAGTGACCATCCCTGGGAAGTCCCCCTGGTCTCTCCTCCCTCCTGCCAGCTCCCAAGCTCTTCCACAGCGACTCAGACACTGGTCAGCTCTGGCTGGCCTCCTGTTCCTCATCCTTGGTTGGATTTGGAGACCACACTGGCATTCCTTCTCTTAGTCCCATTAGCCCTGACATCACCTGTGGTTTTTGCCTCTGGGAATTTAAATATTCACACCCCTAGTGTCACCCATTCCCAAATACCAGGTCTGAACGGAGACACTGTGACCAAACTTTGGGTTCATTTGCTCAGCAAGCCTTGGCTGGGCATTCTTGGCATCTAAAGTAAGTGGGCACTCAGGTTATAGCTTAGGCCTTCTGTGATGCTCTTGGGTCCCCTGTTGCCTGGGGTTGGCTTCATCTTTGGACAGGGTTCTCAAAGTTTCAGGTTTGATGTCTGTCACTTGCAATGTGCAGAAGAGACCTCCACAGAGGGACACGAGTCTTCCTTTCCAGAAGCCCCTCAGCAAAGTTTTGTCTCATTGGCCTGAGTCCCCAGTGCTGAGTCAGTTTCTGTGGCTGGTGGTGGGGCTTCTGATCAGCCCCCAAAGTTACAAGGCCTTGAGCCAGAGGTGGGGCTGAGCTGAGTGAAAGAGGGTGGACACCTGAGCACAAATTTGGGCATGGTTTCCGAGGATATGGGGGACGGGTTCTTGGAGCTCAAACCAGTGAGTGTGCACTGCATGGTGTCTTCCAGAAGGGGCCACGAGACCAGGGAATGTGACTGGATGGAGGCTACCAGTAGGGTGTGTGTGTGTGTGTGTGTGTGTATGTGTTTGGGAGTGCAAGCATGTGTGTGAGACTGGGTAGACCCTTGCATTACTCACCTCAAGAGGGTCAGTATGTGATCAGGAAATATAACTCATGTGGGTGGTTCCTCCATGTTCCAGCAGGCCTCACCCCAGAACTTGTCCCACTACAGGAGATGTTGTAGACAGTGTGTTGTCTTCCTCAGCCTGTGTGGTTGAGGATACACCTGAGTCTGTATAGATCCAGTCTCCTGAGCATTCATTTGCTCATTCATTCATTCATTCACTCACTCACCAGCCATCTCCCACACAGTCCCTGAGATTACAGAGATTACAGAGAAGTGTGGCTCCTACCTCTGATGCACTCACAGCCAAGCAGGCAAGAAAGGACCATAGGAGGGACTATTGTGATTGTGTCTTCAAGGCTCTGGGGACAAAAAGAAGCTAGCACCCTGGCTTCCCATGGGACGAGGAGTCTCTGCTGAGCCTGTCAAGGTGATAGGCGTCTCTGGGAGCTGAAACAGGCAGGTGCCAGCCCACACAGGGAGAAGCAAGTGGAAGAGGAGGCAAGCCTGGGCAAGAGGAGGGGGTCGGCTGAAGAGGCCTGTGGGGGTTCAGGGCCTCGCTGGGGAGTCTGGAGCTCGGGGGAGAGGTTGAGTGAGGGTCACTGAAGGAAGCGATGAGGGCACGTGGGGGAGTTTGTAGAGGAGGCAGGAGGAGGGCCTGTGGGCGGCCTGACCACCGATGTCAGGAGGGAAGAAGAGGTTTTGAGGCAGGACTGCTGAGGAATTGAGAAACACCTCCCTATAAGAAAAGCCCCATTCAAAAGCCATTTATGGTCCACCAGGCCAGAGAGGGGCAAGGCAGTCAAGACAGCCTGCCTGGCCTGCTCTCAGGCTGGGGCTCCTAAGAGGGCCCCCTGTGAGCCTGTTGGCAGACAGGGTAGGCTGCTGCCAGCAGCATCCCAGGCCCAGCTCTGGCTGCGGAAGAGCAAATCACTGAGGAAGGGCCCTTCTCAGCATAATTAGAAAGGATAATTAACAAGCAAGGAAGCAGCCTTTCTAACAACACTGATTACAGATG